ACACACCTCGGCGAGGAATCTTTTGAACATGCAATCTGGGCCGCCTAGGGCGAGTCTCGGCTGTCATCTGAAGGCTGCGCGCTTGCAAGCACAGCAAAATATTAATTGGCAAGATGTATCCACATCGTGGCATAGCTCATCCACACTATGGGGTGCGGCTTCTCTTCCTCTTCCTCGTAGTGGAAGACGAACTGGAAGTGGCCGCCGCTGGCGTAGCCAGTTGCCTCAGCGTCTGTTCGTTGTTGAATTTGTTGGAGATCTTGTTGCTGCTGTAGGGCTCTGTTACGGTCTTTTCGCTCTCTTTCAAACAGCCATGCTCTCGTCACTGAAAACCAAACTCGCTGCCATTGGTTGTTCACTTTGCTCCAGTAATACCTCCATGATGTGGCGTCTTCGGTGTTGTCGACATCCCCGGCGCGGTTCATGTCGTTCGTGCTGGCTGTGGCTGTGAGAGCTGAGTGGCTGCGCGAGTTAAGTTTGGGTGGGTTCGGACTTAACTGCAAATCAGGAAAAACAAAAGCTACGCTCAAGTATTGCGGCATTTTTCACCTGCTTGATGCATGGCTCGAGGGTCTACTGGTACTCGCCGACCCTCAGGGACAAAATGTCTGCTTGGGACGCCTGCACACATGTCCATCGTTGAAGTTCTTCATGATAAAGCATGTCTCTCACCAGCAACGGGCAGAATGGGCTTTCCATGGAGAGTCTCGGCCTCAGCCGCTGAAGAGAATCGCTCCTGGGGGGCGAGCAGAAAAGACCATGCGTTAAACGTCTGTCCATGGTAGCCACTCGGGCTGCACACCTCTCCTGGATGCTCGTGAGCACGAGGCTGTAGACGATGTCGGGCGAGACCAACTTCTCGATGAGAGTGTGCTGGGGTCGATAGTCGCGGATCACTGTCGTGTGGTGAGCTTGTGGATGCTGCTGCACGATAGCATCCATGGCACCTTGCACTGCTTGATTGTCGTGCCTCGCGAGGGGAGTGTCCTCCACACTGACGGCCACCATCCTGACTCGGAGCTCCGTGTGGAATTTGAGGATGGTTTTTAGCAAAGTGGCATTGGTTAATGCCTGCTCTGCAGCATCATGGCCGCCCTCATCGGAGTAGTCAAACGAACTGGAGGTTGATGGCGGAGTTGTGGGCGCCACGGCATCCATGGTCTCTAGCACTGCTACGCTTACCACATGGCTATGGCGGGGAACAGGAAAAGAAAACGCTTGACTAAACGGTGCTCAAGCCTCGAGCGCGCACATCTTATTTTCAAGCATCGGGCTGTCTATGGTGCACGCAGAAGCTCACGCACCTCAAGGTCCATGTACTGCTGATAAGAAAGTTCATGATGGTACCAGGTGTGCATACGCTTGTTGAACAAGTACATCTTGATGTCGATTGGTGTCTCTGCGTGGCTACCATCCACGGCTCGACCAGCGCGCTTGTGCCAGGGGGCGTTCGACTGGATCTTGCACTCTGTGCTGGTTGAAGTCAGGACTTGACTGCAGCGAAGCCACGCGGCCTTGTTGGTTTGCGCGAGGTGCACGAGCATGCGGAGGTCATGCGTCACCTCCAAAAGCGAATAAGCGGTGATCTCGGTATGCTGGATGGCCATATCACACGCCAAGCTGTGGGCGTCGGCGAGGGCCATCGACTTAACTCTGATGGAGTGATTATAGCCATTATAGCCGTCATTCGAGGCGTCCTGACGATGACATTGGTCTGGGCGCCTGATCCGACACGACCACACATGGACTTGTTGCCCCATCTGTAGAACTTCCTTCAAAGGGAGGTGATGCAGTTGTAATGTTTCCGGGAGATCCTCCCGCGGGTTGAGTCGGCGACGGCGCGAAGCTCGCTGCTCCATCCATCTGTATAGATCCATGCGGAATCGTTCTGGGGGATGTAGCGAGGCTTGCTACCAACTTGAGGCTGAGCGATGAAACGACCGATTACGGCTGGCGCATGCTGCTCTAATATTTTAGCGATGTTTCGCTGCATGCGGTTGTCGCGACTGGGTTGATGCACATGTTGCAAGGAAAGAAAAGAAACAACTACCGAATTACAAATTACAGATTAAATGCAAGGCTCACAAGGTGATCGATGTCGGAGAGCTCAAGTCGGTTTGTTCGTAGTGGTGTGTACGCGGACAAAACCAGTCTGTCGTCCTTCCACGGGCACGTTGCGTGCTTGGTGAGGGGGTCAAACTCCAACCCTGGCAGCGGAGGGGATGATTGCGTCCTTGATGTTGTCCTCTCGGGGATAGGTCCGGTCCGTTGTCTTCTAGGAGCCAGAGTTCTCCGCGACGGAATGGCGAGAGCGGCACGAGCACGTTAGTAGAGCCTGGCTGACTGTACTTGTCCACGTGGGCGGCCATGTTCACGTTGCGCAGCAGCGAAACGGTGGAGAAGTTGGTGCGCGTGCATGCTCGAACCATATGGGCAAGAAGAGCCGAGGTCCAGGGGTACTTCCTGGTGTTGCTCCGAATCCCAACTGACCCGGCGTGGTAGTAGGCGCCGGAAGAGAAGACCAGGGTTGGCGCGCCGCGACGTGTGAGTGCGGATGCGCGAAGGAGCTCCGACGGTAACTTCTGCGTTAGCCAAGGAAACAAAGACATAGGAATGTATCCATCGCTAAGATGCCGCTGACAGACCTGCTCAACTTCCAAGTGGCTGCTCACAGGTAAGCATGGTGGCGGATCATCCAGCGGTAGTCGAACCGGTTGCTGGTCCACGTCTGAATCTGAGTCGACATCTGTGAGTTCGACGCCATCTTGTGGCTCTTTGCCGGTACGTTTACGTGGCATGGCTTAGACTTAGACAAAGAATGGGACCAAAAAGCTGAGGACAGGGCTCACAACAGACAAAAAGGACAAAAGCAACATACTGCCCCCGGTAGAACCTGCAAACATGTTATCCCTAAGAGGCGCCGTATTTTGCTGCATGCCTTAGGCAAAGTCTCCAAATCCGAGGCTGAGCCAGCGCTGCTTGCAGCTGCTGTTGTGCCAGGGATCGCACCGTGCTTTCGATCATGTGTCTCCGGCTGTGGTAGCCGCTGAGGCGAAGTTTTCGGGAGCCTGCTGACTGAGGGAGCCGGTAGCGCCACTGTTGAGGATGCAAAATGTAGCTGACCTGTCTGTCGTTGGCGTTGATGCGGAAGCCTAGAAAATCATCACAGTTTTCATCCTCCAGTTGTACGGGCTTTTTGTAAAATTGTAGTGACGCGAGTTGCCAGATGTAGGGGTTGCTGTGGAGGGCCTCTTTGTCGACGATGATCGCCCGGTTGTCGACGTACCTGCGTATCCAGAGCTGATCAGCGAGATGTGCGCTTGCGACGTGTTGCCCGTAGAGACGGAGCCACGTGATCTCCGTCGAGACGATGGCGCACGTCGACAGAATGGGGCTGATCTGATTGCCCATGGAG